CATTGTTTATATAACAATTAAACTCTCACTCAGCAGAAAGAATAATAAGTAAAATCATCACTAAACAATGTTAACTGCTGAGACACATTTATTTGCTTATACACTAACATTCTAACATAAAAGTGAAATAAAATAAAGTAGGAAATAAAAATAAAAATAAAGCTAAAGTTTAAATTTTAAATACAAAAATATATTATAATAAATGTGGTAAGTAGGAGTTTCTATAAAGAAATTTTTTTTGCAATGAACTTTCATGCTGATGGTAAACTGTCCTCATCTTGCATTACTATCAGCTTGGAAGTTCATTGTAAAAAGAGAAACTTCTTTATAGAAATTCCTAGTTTCCACATTTACTATGATATATTTTTGTATTTAAAATTTAAATTCTATCTTTATTTTTACTGTCTTGACCCTGTTATATATAACGAAGGGAAAGTATGAGGATTGGTCAAAACATGACCCCCTAAGATTTTTACAATTTTGGACTTAGGACCTTGAAATGTTGAGAAATGCAAAAAAAAAAAAAAAAAAAATTCAGCAACCAAGTTGCTTAAGTCTCCTGGAAACATTTAAAATTTTGGTGGCACTATCTTCTGTTATGATATTTTATTAAAAAAATTTTTTACATTTTTGATTATTATATTATTTATTAAACCCATACCTACCTTCAAAATTAAGCAAAAAAGCTTAATTTTGAAGGTAAGTATGGGTTTTATAAAAAATTGTAAATGCTAATAACTAGTAAAATTGTCATTAAGTCTGACCCTACTCAAGATATAACACACAGACCCCCCTTTATCTCCCCATCCTGTCACCCTTTGATCACCAAAATTTAATAGCATTAATTCCTCTAATACACAAACTTCCCTGCAAAATTTCAGAAATTTTCAACAAAATGCACAGGAGTTATTAAGCTTCAAGGAGAGGTGAACAAAATTGTGCCACCCACACACTAACATCCTTACATACAGGGAAAACCTCCAAACATTTTGCATTTCTCAACATTTCAAGGTCCTGAGTCCAAAAATCTTGAGGGTCATTTTTTTGATTGATTGCCATACTTTTCCTTTGTTATATATAACAGAGCCAGGAAAGTAAGAAAAAAAATAATTATGTGTGTGGATGTTAATGTATGTGTATAGGGCATGATTTGTTCACCCACTTCAAAGCTTTATAGCTCCTGTGCTTTTTGTTGAAATTTCTAAAATTTTGCAGGAAGGTTTGTGTATTAGAGGGATTCTTCTTCTTAGTGTTGTCCCATAGATGTAAGGTCTGCTATTTGGATCTTCAAACACCACTTTGTTCAATTGAGTGCATTGTCTGGGTTCAGATGCAGAGCCCTTAGGTCTGCATTGATAGCATCTTGCCATTGTTGCTTTGGTCTTCCATGTGGCCTGCGGCTGTTCACCTCTAGGTAGTAGGCAATGTTGGCATCTGTATCTGGGGCTGATCGTTGGATGTGGCCAAACCAGGATTTTTTGCCTCAATGGGCGCAATGCCAAATTGTTGGTGTATCATGTCATTGGTGATATGGTTGAGGAGGGATAAACCAAGCGTCCTGCGAGCCATGCGCATCTCCATGGAATGGAGATGCCGTTTGGCTGCTTTTGTTGATGGCCAACATTTGGAACTATAGAGAGCGATGGGTTGTACCACAGTCCAGTAGATTTTTGATTTTAGGTACATGGGCATCTTTTTGTCACAGAGAACACCAGTGATTTTTCTCCATTGTAGCCATGCCACATTTACCCTCATTTATACCTTGTCGTCAGTGCTCCTGTCACTCTGTAGGGTTGAGCCAAGGTAGCGAAAAGTGTGCATTTTATATAAGTTATCACTGTTGACCTGGATTGTGCCCACATTTGGAAAAATTTCTAGATATTCAGTCTTATTGGTGTTAAGGCGCAAACCAAAGCAAGTCAGATGGTTGCTCCAGGCCTGCACCTGGCACTGTAGCTCTTCTCAAATGGTGGTTGCAAGCATGATGTCATCGGCATAAAGCAGTGTCCAAGGCACATCGTTCTGTATATTCTTTGTGATAGAGTCCGTGATGAGAATGAATAGCAGTGGTGACACTATTAGAGGGATTGATGCTATTAAATTTTGGTGGTTAAATGTTGAGGAGATATAGGGGGGGTCATGTGCTATATCTTGAATAGGGTTGCACTTAATGAAGATTTTACTTGATTTACAATTAATGAAGATTTTACAGTTTCTTATGAAACTCATTTCTGCCCTCAAAATTAAGCTTTTTTTCATTTTATAATAATTAAAAATATAAAAAATTTTAAAATAAAATATTGTAACAGATGGAGCCACAAGCAGTTTTAGATGTTGCCTGGATACAATAAAAATAGAATATTGTCTACATAATTGAAAAGTTTAAGTATAAAAGATATAATTTTCTATATCTACTTTATTATTTTTTGATTTTGTTATTTTATTAGCAGACATATACAGTAATACAAATAGAAATATATAAAATATGTAACAGTACTTTAAATGACAACTTTATTTTAAATTGGATAAATAGTAAAGTACAACTTTATTTTAAATTGGGTAAATAGTAAAGTACAACTTTCTATAGTAAATACTAATACATATAAGTACCACTTCTAAACCTATAGATTTCCAGTAAGATACAAATCCAACCAAATGAATGAACGTTTTCGATCTTCTATCGAGATCTACTTCAGGTTCACTATTGTTTCAACTATGGAATGCCAAGAATTCGAACATTTTTGAATACAAAGTAGTACTTTGTATTCAAAGAAAAATAAAAACTCTAAACTGATCAAAATATATATTTTGAAATTCATTTTTAAATAAATGCAAAAATATTATTATTACTTAAAAAATTAATTGCATATCAAAAATNTAAAACATTTAATCTATATCTTTATTTCTAGAAAATGAAAAACTTTGTGTTATTAATATAAATATCCTATCAATATTTGATAAATTTTGTAATTTGTATTATATTATAGATAATATAATATATAGTCAATTTAAAGTAACTTACACAGTTTATGATTTACTCTTTTTAAAGTTATTAGAAAATGGGGATTTTCAAATTAAAGATGTGGCAAAAGAAGATGAAGGTGATTATACATGTTATGCATCTAATAAGTTTGGAGATGAAGAAGCAATGGGAAGATTAGAAGTTAAAGGTAAAAATTTATTTTAAAAGATATATTAATTAATCATAACAATAAAATAAATAAATATTTTCACCACAAATAGTTTTTTTTAATAATTAATTTGTGATTTTTATATTTTTTTTAGTTAAAACAAAAATTTATCAAGCTCCAAAAAATTTTGAAGTTGCTGCTGGAAAATCTGCTACATTCCGCTGTGAGGCTGAAGTAGATCCCAATCTTAAGCTTCAGATTGAGTGGTTATTTAATGATAAGCCTATTGACTTTGATCAGGATGCTCGTATTATTCAATCATCTGATAAATCATTAACAATCACAAAAACAGTAGAATTAGATTCTGGAACATATACTTGTATTGCTAAAACTTCCTTAGATGAAGATCGTGCTTCAGCAATGCTCATTGTTCAAGGTAAAATACTTAATTTTATAAATTTATATTTTATTTATAATTATCATTGAAAATTTGAAGTTTTGAATTTTACTCTCTTGTTTTGGATAAAATCAAACAGAAATAATTACATAAAATTTCAATTAAAAAATACTTTATCCTATTAAAAATGATTAAAATTATCAATAAGGACAGAAAGATGTAATGCTGAATATGAAAGACACACTGAAGAATTATAATAATTGCATTAACCACTTTAATTTCTAATGTTTTCAGCTATATTTTACTGACCTTTCTCAGGAGAAACGTACAATCTGAATGCCACTTGCATTTGA